AGAAAAAAGGATTAAACCCAGAAGATCTTGGTGAGCAGGGAGTACTTTCACTCAAAGTGACCTAGCAGCTGGGAATGCTAAGAATACCAGTGTGGGGAAAAGTGGTATTTGCTAGGATGAGCTAGGCCTGAGAGATCCTGTATCCCCATGTCCCTTTGCCTCCTGATGTTGTTGGCGAGGCAATGAAATAAAACTGTTCTTTGTACTGCAGCTGGGCCTTGGTGCCTGCCCTGGTTGCCTCTGTTGATTCACACACATGGATTTGCTGTGTGGATGAGCAATTGGTTGGATGGTCACACTCAAAGAGCTGTGGTCAATGACCCAAGATGAAAGAGGAGAGCAGTGGTAAATCCATTCCTCAGGGACTGGCACTGGGACCTGCACTGATATCTTTTGTGGTATTTTCAGGGTCCCCCATTATGGGGAGAGAAAATGAATCTGACTACACATTCTTCGAAGGCTAATTTATCATATCATATTATATAATGCTATACTAAACTATACTAAAGAACAAGAAAGGATACTTACTAAAGACTTAACGAGATACTAATGAAAAACTCATTACTCACTCCAGAGCCTCAAAACAGCTGACTGTGATTGGTCATTAAGTTAAAAAATTCACATGAAACCAATCAAACAACGACCAGTTGGTAAACAATGTCCAAACGCCATTCCAACGCAGCAAAACACAGGAAAAGCAAATCAGATAATTATTGTTTTCATTTTTCTCTGAGACTTCTCAGCTTCCCACGAGAAGAAGTCCTGGTGAAGGGATTTTTCAGAAAATTAACAACAACCTTTGTTGGGGACACTGACTGAGGGTCAGTGCACCCTCAGCAGGTTTGCTGGTGACCAGAGCTGTGTGGTGTGGTGGGCACACTGGAGGGGAGTGATGCCATCCAGAGGGACCTGGATGGGCTTCAGGACTGGGTCTGTGTGAAACTCATGAAGACTGCTTATTCCTGAAGACAGGAAAGTCCTTCAGTGAGTTCCTCCCCTCCCTAACTCAGCTCAACCGATCCTGTGATCTGTGGCAGAAAGGACAGGAGGCCCAGCTGCAGCAGCTAGTACAGTTTTATCCCAGAGTTTATAAGTCACTTTGCGGAAAGCACAAAGCACCTTTAGATTCTGCTGGTGCCAGAGAATCACCATTAATGCCAGGTTTTCATATATCCTGGGTTAATAGCATTGAGGAAATTCCAGTGAAAGGATGTTAGATATTTGCTCATTTCCAATTCAAATGTTATTCTGATGAGGTCAGGGCCTAATTGTACAAGGACCTACAGAATAATGATATAAACATGCCCCCATTTCTTAAGAAACAATGATAGCAGCAATTAGCATCACACTTAGTGTCAAAGTGCCCCTGGGCACTTTCCAGAGCCCATCTCTGCCCCAGGGAGGTTATTCAGCAACTCTGAAGGTCAGCAGCACCACTGCATCCTGCACCTGCCCTTCCTCCTCCTCCCCAGGCAGATCACACTGACTGCTCAGTATTGCAGCACTCATGGGGCAGTCAAATCCAACGGGCTCTGAAAGCTCCTGCAGCTACCTGGCTCTCTCCAAGCCCCCTGCAGGAGTGAATTCCTGCCCCCTGTCCCCTTGGCAGCACCCAAATGTCCCCACTGGAGCAACTCCAGCCAGCCAGGGCTGCACAATGCCCTGGACATAACCAGCTTCACACAGCTCATTGTGAGAGAAGACAAAACATGACACAGATGGAGGAGAGAAAAGCTGGCTTATCCATTCTGATTTTGGTGGTTTTCTGACAATTCATGCCAATCCAAATCTTAGCCAAAACAGTTTTAAAGACTAGTACAGAGTTAAAAGGAAAATACAGTGTCTGGCCATACCAAGGGATTAGTTTTGTCAGGACAAAATCTCCTATAGCTGACTTAATAACTTGGCAAAAGCCCTGTAAATAAAGGCAACACTGAATCTGCCAATTCCCAGCTTGTCAAGCTCCTCCACAACCAACAAACCACAAAAGTAATTACAGACAGTTAAAATGCAAAGAGCAGGAGGCCTTTTCCTAAAAGGCACAATTGCTGTGCCCCTAGAGGCTGGGTTTAATTCTACACCCTGAATTAATTTCCATTCATTTCCATCTGAAATTTGCTTGGCTTTCCCAAAATGTAAGCTTGAGATGCTTCCAATTTATCTGAGATTTCATCATGAAGGAACTTGCAGTACACACTTCAGTGACATGTTTAAGTCCCTCATCCCCATGACATTTGGCAATAGACAGGTTTCTTTGAGGCAAGCTTCTAAACAGCCCAAAATAAAGATCTTGTTTTCAGTATCTTAATCTAGAGTTTTCAGTGTCAGTGAGTATTGCTTTGTTACAAAAAATGAACTATTTATTTTCAGGGACATGTTGATAATCCTACATATCTGTTGGCTGCAGGGCCTAAAGATGCTTCTATGAACATCTAATCTTGTTTGCTGTGTAAAATGATATGAATTTCACCACAAGTGCTTGCATTCCTCAGAACATTTCTTGTTTTTTTGAATAGAAGCACACATACACATTCAGCATGGAAACAAGCTTGAATCCAGCTACACAAATTTTGTAAGAACAACAGAGGGAAACAAATGAAATGTTACAGCCCTTTCACTTTGCCCATGCAGTGCAACAAGTGTTGAGCTCCTTGGAATGCTCTTGCTCTCAGAAGAGAACAAGAAAGTTGATAATAATCCAAAAATTATAAGAAACATTGTCCTTGTGCTGCCCACTAATAGGTGTTCACACCATTTAAATTAGACATTCTCAATTTGATACCTCCATGTACAGTTGCTAAAAAGAGAGGCAGGTTTCTAAAACGGATTCTCTGTATCACCCTCCAGAAATCTCATTTTCCTTCTGGGTACCCAGGTTCTTAAGAGCTATTCCAACACCCTTTATTGTTCCATTTTCTGGCTCTTGGGCAGGATATGCATTGTTCTTTCACAGTAGGTAATTTATTCAGAGGCATTTTCCAAGCCAGAGGAGAGACTCCCAGCCCCAGCTGAGCTTCCTGGCAAATTTGCCCTGTGCAGAAGAGCAAACACAGAGAGGACAAAGCAGAGGAGGGTTCAGCTGCATGAGCAAAGCACACTCTGGGCCTACACAAACTCCTCGGCCTCCCCAGAACAGCAGGAGTTTAAATCTGAGGGGAGGGAGTTTATAAATCTGGAAACAGATGGTTCCTGTGGGTACTGTACTTTGATTACATTCTTCCCAAGGCCACAGAGGAGCTGATCTGGAGAAGTCCAGACCACTTCTGCCACTTGTAACAGGAGCAGTGCTGAACAGGGAGCAACCAAAGCTGAGCTCTTTCTACCTGCACCCAGGAATGCCCACAGGACGCACCACTGCAGATCCCTATGGATTGCCTGCAGAAATAACCAGGCTGTTCTCAATGCCACTGCCACAGCTGCAGACCTTCACACCTAACCTGCTCTGGGGCCAGACAACACCAGATCACAACCAAGCAGAGTTTTGATCCTTTCCCATTCCCTACTTCAGCACACAAAGTAACCAAAGTTTCTGTAAGACCTGTTCTTTCCAGACAGTCTCAAGACAGAAACCAAAAATTTCCTGTTGCTGTTTAAGTTCTCCTGGTTAAATCCTGCTAGAGCATATCTGTACACTTCACTAAAAAGCCCCAATAAATCAAAGTAGATTTATGTCAAACAAGCACATGACACTGTTTCTTTCTTCCCTTTATGCATCCTTGCTCCAGACATACCAAGCACCTGTTTGAGAAGCTTATGCCTTGCAGAACAGTTACAAAAAGCATCATTTTAACAAAGAAGTTTTCATTATTCACAAATGCCTATATAAGTCACCAGGTCAGTATTTCAGTCATTCATTGTTATTTTCTGCCAGGAATATACAAGTTAATGTGACCTTTTACAACATCTACCCTTAAGATGCCTCCAAGCTATGATGGGATTACAAAATTTGAATCGGCTGAGGCAGATGAAACATTTCCTATTAGAATGACCTGAAAAACACAGGGTGTGCCCATATATTCCCTAGAAAGTCTCATTCAGTGGGTATCAGGGTGTTTTTCCTGCTCTGCTGATTTGCAGACTCTTAGGTATTTCCCTATGGATCCCCCAATGTCAGCATAATAATAATAATATTCTTGCCTTCCTTAATTACCTTTCTCAGATCCCTTAGCAGCAGCTAATAGACCAACAGGGATCCATAGAGAATAATCTGAAAATGATGAGTTAATCACTTCATAAGGACAGGCCCTCAAGTGATTGTCCTTCAAAGAAGGACACACTTTAATAACAGTGTATACATTATATAGGAGTTTCCTATTTTTCTATCCTGTGTAACAGAAATAACAATTGCAGCCTTTGCAATCCTTTGACACTGTATTTGTTCAAACTGTCACAAAACCTGCCCAGAGCCCACTGGGGCAGTCAGGGTCAGCAGAGCAGTGAATCCCAGGCTCAGGAATTACACCCAGCTGCAGTATGCAAAACAGACTGGATGGTAATGCTTATTTTCATGTGTCTGCCTCCGTGAGGAGGGTTAAAAAATGCTCCATGCAGAGCCAATCATTCACTGTTCAAGCAAGCAGGGATGGCACTGGGGGAAACCTCATTTCAAAAGGAAAGTAATTTAGATTTTAGTACTGCAAGTTTTAATGGTAATGCACACTAGAGAGAACTAGCACTTAGAAATATGCACTAATGATACTGTCTTTTCAATAGAGACTTCAGAGCCATGATTTCTATGCTGCTTTTGATCCTGAACTCTGAAGGTGAATTTTCCTGTTCAGGAGCTGATTCATAACTTTTTATGAGGCTCTCATTAACCTTAGCTTGAAACTTTGAATGGCACCCACACTTTTGCTAGACACTGTGTAGAGGCAAATTTGAGGAACATGAATTCTATTAGAAAACAACAAACTTTGAAACCAACAATTGCACTCAGGAGTTTTTATCTGAACTCTCCTTAGATGACTCGCAACTATTCTCAAGCCCCAAGGAACACTCACCTGGAATGTCATGGGAAGGATGCTGCAGACAGACACCTCTGGTTTGCAAAATCAAGCCAAGGCAAGAAATTTGATCAACAGGCAAAATCCAGGGTTAGCTTCCTCTACTGCACTGGGACACTGACCTGTGAGAAATGAAAGGGGGAAACAATTCAAGATCAGTTCTTAGGATTGTGCAGAGAATCATTCTCAGATGTTAATCCTCAGCACCAGGTGCCCAATTAACAAGGCAACAGCCTGGTTGTAATTTTCCTACCTCAGCAAGCAAGGAAAACAGTATCAGTCCTTTTAGTCCTGCTTGTGAAAGATGAAATCTTTAAAAACCTGTTCATTGTTGACCAAGCAAACACACCATGTAATGTTGGCTATGAGCTGCAGCTGAAATATGTGTTTAAGTTATACACAGAGCAAATTCAAACACCATCCATGCTCCCAAGGGTGTTTGAGAAGGTATTTAACAATTTCTGTGAACAATTTGCAAAGTGAAAACATCCAAACCTGTTTCAGAAGTTCTTTGCCTCAGGCACCAGCTCTATCTCCACATTAAGTTTTCATAAACAGAGCTAGAGAGCAGATGGCCACTGCAAGCATACAGCTTTCAACAGGTGTGTTCCTGTCTCTCAGTCGTGGGTTTATCTGAGCAGCCTGTGACCTGCTAACAGAAACATCTTGGAGCCCAAAGAACAGGATTGCTTAAACATTCACATAAAAATATGAAGAATAAATGCAGACACTATAGGAGTTCATTAATTGATGCTGTTAATTGGCAAGTCATCTACCAACCTGATACTGGGCTTCCAATGGTTTCTCTGGCTATGCAGACACCTGAAAAAGACATGTTTTCAGAGTCCTGCTGTGAAAAGCTGAGCCACACTTGATCTAGGATGCACATCATTTTAGCTAAAATTAACATTTTTGTCTTTCAACTTTTTACTTTGTCTAAATTCTGATCTCCCAAGCATCATTTCTCTTTGCAAGTCTAACTTGGTATGCTGTAGATGGAAATAGCACAGAAGGTTTCCAGCTGCCTAGCTCTGAAGGAATAGAAAAGACGTGATCTTGGAGGTGGGAAAGGAGAGAAAAAGAACTGCTTTGTTGTAACACACTACTCCTTGTTCAAAAGGCTCTGTGACACCTCCAAGTTTTGACAACACAGCTGCATTTATATCTACTTGTGATGAGAGCTCCCATCAGCTCAACCCTGGCATTATGCCTGACTGGCAATTCATTACTTACTGTAATTTAGGAGCACTTTTTACATCATAGCAGCTCCTCTTTACTGTTGTCTCTCCCCTCCACCCTGAGCACACCCAGGAGCTGGTGTGCCTGACTGGAGATGCCACCAGTGAGCTCTGGGGCTGTGCTGGTGCAAAGGAATAAAGGAACAGCCTGTTTATTCCAAATAGGGCCTGAGAGAGATGCTCCAAATCACACTCTGAGGCTGCCTTTCCCCATCCACTGCCGACATAGCCAAGATATGCAAAATGAGTAATGAAGGGGAAAATCATAAAGCAGGGCTCTGTTCAAGAATTAATGTGCTCATTTTAACTCAACAAGCTCAATCTTCCCTGTTTACAGCCTGAATTACCTCCTTTAACATTGAAACAATAGAGGGAGAACACTTGCACTGCTTTCCTCATGGTAAGCAGGCAGGTGCATGCTGCTTGTTGGAGGAAAAAAAATGAGCCTCCTAATAGGATAATATAGTTTGGATTATATTAGTTACAGAAAAACTGAGATGGGAAAGCTGCAAGGGCATCATCATGATGAAACATGGGGCTGATTACTGCAAAGTGCTGAGCTCCAGACAAAGTCATTGGGTGTTATATGAGCATTATAATATGATCACTACTGTCTTTCCACAAATTATGGGCGAAAGGTAGATTTTCATACAGCTACACATCCAACTTTCCTTCACTAAGTATTTTTAGATATAAATTTTTAAAATATGCAGCTCATAATAGTGCCCATTTAAACCTCTACCAGTGCACAGAACAACAGCACAATTATTTATAATCCATATATAGAATGCAGAAATTGTATAGCACTCAATGAACATGCACTGCTGCACATTCATACAGAGGAACAATATCAGAGACATTTCTTGAATGAAGATCAATCCTCTTGACCAATGCAATGGAAAGAAAATTAGGGCTAATGAGAAAATCAATCAAGGAAAATTCAAAGACTTCCAGATATTACTCCAGATAGGGATCAGAGGAAAAGTGCTTTCACCTCACTGGGATTTTCCAGTGTGTCTGAGGGACCTGAACCTTCCACAGGTTCACAGCACCTGTCCTGAATGTGGCAGAGGAAGAATCTCACACAGCACCAGCTGCACCTACCATGGGCTGGGCAGCCTGAGCTCCTGTCCTACAGTGAAAATAAAGGAGTTAGATAAAAACTTGGCAATCAAGAGCACTCTTGGAAAACCTTTGCACCTGTGCCAAGGGAACATCTCTGCTGGTATCATTCCAGACAGGAGCTGAGAGCAAACAGGAGGAAGGGCAAAAGGCAGAGGCTCTAGCAGAAAGTCCATCAATGATACTTTAAGAGACTTGGACTGTGAGCCAAGAAATGAATAAATTATCACATCAAAGTCTGCACTGATATAAGTGACAAGGTGCTAATTTAATATTTATTTTTCTGTTGGGGGAACTCATTACCTACAGAAATGTTTATGTGCTCTCTAGAAAAAAAAAAAAAAACAACACTTTTTTCTTCTTAAATTACTGTTATTGGCATCCTTATTGACAGGGAGAAATGCAGAACTACACCAAACTACCCAAACCACAACATAACACTTCAATGTGCCCATCAGCTAATGCTAATCTATAATTGAACACCGTGTAGGTACTCAGGAAATCCATTAATCTATATAGATTGTTCCTTCAGGATGAGTGCTTCAGGTTACTTTACATAAGGAAAGGCATCCAAGGTCTAGGACACTGTCAAAAAACTCACAGATCTCAGAAATACTAACTAGGGATTTAAGGAGAGACATCTGACAGCCAGAATGCTCAATAACTTCAAAAAGAGTACACTCAGTGAAGATGTCCACCACAGAAAATGCCTGCAAAGACATAAAAGGACTTAACTGGCTTTGAAAATCAGTCAAAACTTGTCCAAATTTGTGATCCCAAGGTTTGGCCCTAGCCACTTCTTTCCTTTACACAGATGGCTCTTCTGTTTGACTGAGAAACAGATTTCACAAAGAAGGCAAATAAATTAATGCTTTAACAGTTTTTAATGCTATTTTATAATTGTCTCTATTACCAAATCAAAGGTGTGGGGCAATTAAATTGAGATAAATCCCATGAAAATCACAACTGAAATTAAAAAAAAAAATTAAAAATTAAGTCTTATCTCCAGCTTTATCCAAAGGACACATGACATTTCACGGGACTTTATTAATATTCTGCTATGTCTAACTAGCAGGAGATCCCTAGAATATACCTTCTATAACAGGAATGCTAGTGTGCATCTGCCCCTTGTTCCTCTTCTGCTCTGCAGTGTTTTCAGTACCAGGCTATATCTGAATTTCATTTCCTGATTCCATTGGTCTCCTTGGGACTCAGAAGCCAAAGCCACCACGGAAATCTTGGCAGAGGCCAAGTTTTAATTTGTCAGTAATGCAATCCATTAGAATTACAGATATTTGCATTTATGCCAGTTGTATAGGAGATCTTGTCATTGATTTATCCTTTGCCAAACAGTTTAGTACTCTGGAACAAAACACAGATTTTCAGAAAGCTGCTCTCATTCCATTCAGCAACACAGCACCTGTGAGTGAGAAGAAATGCTACTTCTACAGGCATTCTTCCTTTACCCTGAAAGGGAAAGGAATACAGATTATTGCTATGGTACAAAGAACTTTTATTATTTATTCACTTTTCTTTCATTTCTTGACTTCACAAAGGCATTCATTAATTATTTTTTTTAAAGTCAAAGCCATTGATGAGAGGGAATCATCCTTTACTGTACCATGAAGCGTTGCCTGCCACCCTCCAAAGGCACTGCTCCAAATTAAAACATGATTACGCTCCCTAGGGCGACCTTGTGAAAAAGCAGGGATGTGTTTACTTTCTCTGCCTTCCAAATCAACCTTGCTAATTTAGAAGTAAAGATGGTTTTCCTAATTGCCAACCCTGGAAACTCTTTGAGTTTTCTGAGATTCTGAGTATGTGATGTCCCAGTAACAGTAAAGACAAGGAAACAGTTAATGATTCTCAATGAAGAGCACAAGTAGTTAACAATCCTGCAAGCAGAGTCCAGCTCACACATCCACAGCTGGGCTGAATCTGCAAGGCTGACAAATAAAGCAATAAATGCTTATTTTTTTCACAAAACATTGGGCCATAATTTTTAACACAGAGATTTTCAGAGCTGCTCTGCAAGAAAGTGCCTTATCTGCCCCTTAATTCCATGCAGCAGTTTTAGCCAAAGGTTTTCTCTGCCTATTTGCTGATATGACACCCATTATAGGAGATATAAGTGAGCATGGGCAGCAACCCAAGAACTCCTTGGGATGGGGAGGCCACAGGACACAAACTCTGTCCCTTTTCCAGGGGAAAAAAAAGCCACCAGCCCAGTTCCCTGGTGCCAGTTTGCAGGAGGTGCTTGGCACTGCCAAGGCAGCCTGAGTTAGTGGTGGTGGCAGGTTGGGTCTGGAGACATCCTGTGCCATTTGGAATTTTAGGAGGCACAGCACATTGGTTTTATTTTAGTGCATTATCCCAGGGAGCTGGCTTCAGTCATGGCCAGTGGATTCAACTCCATGTACTTGAGGAAAATCTGAAATTCCCCTGGAGAGCAAAGGACTAACCTGTGCTCCCAGCAGGCTCACCAAGGATTACCAGGAATCAGTGTTCATCCAGCTGAGCAGCCAGAGCTCCAGAGCAGGGCACTGGGTCACCAGGTAATCCCCTGCTGGGACAGGAGCAGAGGAAGCTGCCAAACCTGCTTCTTTGCCTCTGAGGCTCCAAGCTTTGGCCATCACAAAACTGACCCTAAGAGAACTTGGCTCAAACTGCTGAGCTGGAAGCGCAGAATTGATTGGATTGCACTCAAACCCTATCAGCAATCAGGAGCAGCACTTGCTGGACAACTTGCTGCCCTTGAGTCA